TCTTATTTCTTGAGGAAAAATACTCAAGATCTATTAATGAAAGAACTATGCAACAATACAAAGAGAAAGACAATGTTCCTTGAATCGACACTAGCTTTCAAGCTCTTCAACTACATGAAGTTCTCTCTGGAATAGAAACTTCCCTCACTAGGCTAAACTCTCTTTTCTATCTCGCTATAGCCCACAATATCCTATTATATAGACAATGAATGTCAATTAAACTTAGAAAATCAATAGAAAATCAAAAAAAAAATTCTTATAAGGTATGGCACCAACTACAACGGAAAATTTTCTAAGAGAAATCATGATAATAAAATAAAGATAGCATTAATTTCAATGAACATTTGTAGATTGTTAGGAAAAAAAAAACTAATACTTCAAATATCTAGCAACAATATTCTCAATCATGGAGTCACTCGAATCTCAAGCTTCTTTCCTAAACCTTTTCTTAGTTCCTCTCAACTTAGTTGAATCTTCACCCCTTCAGTAGATTTCTCTCAGTAAAATAACAATCTTCTCAAGGTTCATCCGGGCAATATAGTAATATTCTCATAAATCCCTTACTCTGCTTTTAAATCCTCTCATCTTGATATGCCCCCACTTCAATAAGCAGTTCACTCCTATGAATCAAGCTATAGGATAGAGAAGAGCATGGCTTCTCTCTCCTGTGTATACCATTCTGATTTGGAGGCCAGTTATCACTTCTCGGTGATTCAATAAAAGTACTTTAGTGCCATGATGAACATCATATTTTTATTCTCCAAAATTTGATCATCTTTGAACTGATACTCTTAAGCTAGCAATAGGTCATAGGAAGTGGGTAAGATTTTTTCCACTTCCCCATCCACCATTGAAGCCTCATATGGCTTTAGATTTTTTATATCCACCACAAAACAAATTCCCGAGTAGAAAGATAAAAGTAAATTAGCATGAATTCTCCCTAATCTTATTTAGAATCTACTATATTACATTGGTTTGATCTTTACACCTCCCTACAATCTTTCTTTGTTAATATAATTACAAGATCTCTAATCAATGTCAATCATGTCAGTGCCAGTCGCATTGTTATGATTTATCATATTGTATTTCTACCTCAAAGTGAATTTTCTTGAATGCTGTTAGAAATCTTTAGACTCTGTTGAGATCAACGTAACTCTCAGGACTAAATGATCTTGTCAATAATTCCAAGTTGAAAGAATTGAGGCAAATGCCTTAAACATGTATCTCATCGAGCTTGGTTAAGAAATTGTCACCCTGTGGTATCCAAATTAGATAAACAAGATACTTTCTTACCATGTCTGAGAATCATGAGTTGAATCCTCTTGATAGGTGCATAAAAAAAAATTTCTCCATCTCAGGATGGTTGTAATTTTGTGGATGAAAATTAATGTCCCTCTTCAACGTAGAGTATTCATTAAATCTTACAATTATTTTTTTTTTAAATGCAAGAAAAACTAAAATTCACATGAACATTATTGCAAAAGATGTGTTTCTTCATCGCCCATTATGTTCCACTTAAATGTTATAAGTATTAACAATGTTGACTCTCACATAAACTCCACGATATGAATCCATTGGTTTTGATGTCATTTCTGTTATCAATCATCCTCGGACTCACCCATGGGTCTCGTAGGATAGTGTCATGTTGACTGTGACCATCACTGGCTTGGTAGCCTTTGATCGAGTTCTTTCGGTGCACTCTTTACTTGTTCATGTATGATAACGGTTCGAATTGCCCATCATCACCTAGGCTCATCTTCATGTTTGAATGTGTTTTCCAAGAGTTGAGTCTTGTTTTTCATTATATTCAAAGAGACATGCGATGAGCGCGATGATAATTCATTATTCATATTTACATGATTTCATGCCCATAAAACCTCATTTGCATGGATTTTCCCCCACGTAAAAAATTTTCGTCGAGATTTTACAAAATGGACTGTGCGAGTGCATTCGAGTCGTTGAGACGGTTTAAATGAATATATTTGCATCAAAATAGGATTTTACTTGGTGACCATTGAGGGATCAAACAATCATATATATATATATATACATACATGTATGTATATATATATATACATACATGTATGTATATATATATATATATACATACATGTATA